CCCCAAAACCCCAAAACCCCAAAACCCCAAAACCCCAAAACCCCACTGCAAAGAGATCAGATAATACTTTATAGATCTGTTTAAATATTTAAATTCAAATAAATATTAAAGTCTCAAAACAAAATAATGAAAAACTTTTAGGTGAAGACTTAAAGAGCTAATAAATAGTCATTCTACTAGCATCGTTAGTAATAATCCCTGGATGGAATATCAAATCTTATGCTTTAGCAAAATTACATGAATAGAGAGCCAAGCTATGAACCAAGGATAATGTAAAATATGAGTTTGACTGACTCTTCTTCAAATATCGACTTTGATCCGATATAATTGCAGATTGTTCAAAGCATTCATCCTCTTACATCAAAATCAAATTCTTTTTCAAGATCTAACTAGCAAAGTTCTTTCACTTTCTAAAATACAACTTAGCAGCAACCACAGTAGACTTCAATGTAATATTCGATACTTAGTAAACCCATTAATAACAAAGAAATGAGAGTTCTTCAATAATAGTTTGAAGAATTTGAGCATATAACTTAAACCACTAAGCATCTTGAGCAGTAGTTGACTAAATTCAAGAAACTAGTAGAGTAAAAAAGAGAATATCTCAGATAAATGGAAAAGGAAGTCTCAAATTAATAAAAAGTTAATGAGAAACGAGAAAAAATTTATAAGGATGTTTAGTCAAAATAGTATTAATAAGATGATAAAATCAAGTTTAAAAAGCAATAGTTTAAAATGAGGTTGGAATAGTATGAGAAACGAAAATCATAGGTTCAGCAAGAAAGTGAAAAACTTCTAGATTTAGAGAAAGAATTAAGAGGCAAGAAAGAAATTTATGATTAGTAATTGTAAGAATATAATAAAAGCAGAGAAACTTTTGAAAATCAGAAATAATAGTATATTGATATAAAAGACACTAAGCATAAAAAACTTTCAACAGAGTAGCAGCAATTAAAACATTAATTAGCCAAACTCTAGGATAAAAATACTAACTTGGAATAAAAACAGTAGCAACTTCATTTTAAGCAGAAAAATCTAGATATGAATGACCTAGATCTAAAAGATTTATAGTCTAAAATCCAAGAAGAACAAGTTAAGCTTGATACAAAGAGGAAAGAACTATTGGAATAGGAAAAATAAGTGAAATAAAAAATGAAGGATTTGCAGGGATCAAAGGAAGTAGAGTTATTAGCAAGTGAGGAGCTAAAGAAGACAGAGTGTCTCTTATTTGATAAAGAAAACAGAGAATACGAGACAGAAACTAAATACAAAGATATGAAGAATGTGATGCTTCACTTAAGGAGGGTAATAGCAGAAAAAGAAGATGAAGTGAGATGTAAGAAAGATGAATCTAGCCGTAAGGAACGCTAATTAGAGGATGAGGATGATAGACTAAGGAGAGTTGAAGAGGAAATAGAAGATGAAATATCCTGTGCTCATTATTGTATCAATGAATTGAAAAAGAAGAAAAGAGAGCTTGAAAGTAAGCATGAAGAAGTCTAGCAAAGGGAATAAATATTAAAAGAAAGATTAAAGATAGAGGGTAAGATAGAACTTGAACTTGCTGGACTAGAATTTAATCAAGAGAGATTGTCAAAACAAAGACAAGATTACGAGAAGTAATTCGAAATAGAAATGAAGATTATAAGAGAAAGAGAGGAAAGCTTAAGGTAAAAAGATCTAGAAATAAGGAAAAAGGAGTCCAAGCTTGCAGTAAGAATGTCAAGCAATTCTATTATCTAGGTCAGAGGTCTATTCTAAGATATGGATTAGTGGAGTGATATTGGTGGAGCACCAGCTGATATTGTAAATAATAAGGAAAATGTCTAATTTAATTGATCAACAATTTGTAAATGATTTGTCTACGGGGTTTTGGGGTTTTGGGGTTTTGGGG